TACAACCCTCATGAAGTTCTAAGCCTCAACTACAGTATAACTTTGGACAATAAATCGGGCTTTATAATTGCCATGTTTATTTTTGCTTTTCAACTGTAGGTTTTTGAGGGTAAATGTTTGTTATTTCCAAAGGTTAGATGGCAGCTGAAGAAACCACAACAGTATCGCCAATCCAGAGCGGGGAAATCCAGGTCCATTGGAGTCTCGTTCCCTGGGTTTCGATCCCAATCAGTGTATGCGATCCTGGGACAGGCAGCTGTTAATTCATATGTGTGTGGAAGTCACATGCAAAATATTGCTATGTAGTACAGGGTGGCAAATTGGCATTTTGAAGATGCTGCTTTACGAATCTGAAAGAAAGCAAGAAGATCAAGTTTGTGGAAGGTTTCTCTTGGTCCCAGGCTAGTGGTGCCCAGCCAGCCCTTCTCCCACTGGAGCTCCCTCGGCCGTGGACACTCCCAGCCTCGCCGGTGGAGTGGCCACAGTGCATGAGACAGGCACTGTCCCGAAGCCTCGCACTGAGAGTCTCGTGCTCTGCGCCTGTGTGTCCACCATGAAGTGCCATCCAGCACCGTCTGTAGCTGCTCTGTTTGCTGCTCGACTGCTCCTCTCACCTTCCTGGGGGGCATCTCCTACTCCCTGTGCTACAGTGAGGTGCAGATTGGGTGGAAGGAGGAAAACAGGGTCTAAAACCAACACTCAGCGCAGCAGGGAGCAGTAGCTGAAGCTGTCAAATGTTGTATAATCAGTCCTGCAGTCCTTTTCTTCGTGCCATTTGTGTAGTACGGAAGCACTGGTCTTATTTTCATGCATTTCTTTCAAAGTTGATGCAACGCACTCACGTTTGAGCTCCATAGTCTCGTTTCTGTGCTCAGTGCGTGGGGATGGGCTGCACTTTGTGTCTCTGCATTGCTCAGCATGTTGCCACTGCAGCACATCCCAAACATTTACTGTGTTGTAGATTTGCCACCCAAAGCATCCAGATTAATGCCACTTAGTGTCATCTTGGGCCTCCACCCAAGATGCAAGACCAAGAAGCCTCAACTCGCCAGCCGCCGTTGGAAAGCAGGTCGGCACCTTGGTAGCCCATAGGGGAACAGCCAGGAAGGACAGGGTCCATGGAGGTGGGTGAGCAGCAAGAAGTAAGAATGACCAACCTTTACAACACATTTCTTTGCAGCTTTTATTACAAAGTATAGCCAACTACATTCTCACTTTTAATTGCCATTTTAATTGCCTGTGAGCTTGCAGCTGTATTTTTCATAATAATCTTTGTACATTTAATATTCTTGCCTCACCGTAGTGTTGTCACTGTCATTAATTTTTTTATTAGGAAAAAATTGTGGGAAAGCATTGCCTAAAACATAAAAAGCTCCAACCCCAGCAGGGTTGAGTGTAAAACTCAGCTGAAACTCAACCGAAAGAGGACCAAATCTCTCTCTGAGCAGTGGGCTTAGCTCACTGACTGCAGGAGAATAGAAGGGCTTTAAGTGCTTGATATTTTCCCTGAAGGGGCTGAGGAATGCCAGAAATGCCCACATCTAGTAGGGATTTTTTTTTCATGTGTCAGGTGTAAAACACTTCACAGACTTCAGGAGAAAGGTATGCAAGTCTCGGTAAGCATTGTTGAAAACTATGCTATGAAAGGTACCGGAGTTCGCTGCCTGCAGCTAGTTATGCAGTTTGTGGAGAGGCTTTCTAATCTTTTAATTTTATATAATTATATTTGTTTGGGAATTGAAAGGGTGGGGAATATTTGGGGATTACTTTGGCAAAGATTTTGGAATTGTAGTCACCTCCAAGTTAACTGTCAGTATTAATCTGTCCTTTAATATTTTGAAACAACACTCCAGGTATATCAAATTCCTGAAACCACAAAAATGTTGTCAGAGCAAAATTAAATATATGTGGGCAGCAATAAGTCTTTTGAGAGAAAGGAAGGCTGTGTTGCGTGCCGTGGCTTTTGTGCTTTATTGCCTTCACAAATGCAAAATAAAAATATTCATATTAGAATTTGATGAAAATTTTCCCTCTAAATGAAAATTTCCAGGAAAACCAATTTTTATGTAAATTGAGTTTTAGACAAAAGTCTTTCAAGAGGGAATTTTTTGCCGTAATGCACAAGGCTGACCATAACATGTCCTGCTCAGACAACCAAACCTTGTGGGAAGGAGAGCACGAGTCACCCTGCTACTGGTCCTGCAGGACACTGTGTTGCCTGCTGGCCAGGCCACATGGGCAGAGGTTTGGCTCACACTGTTGATAACTGTATTTCTGGTCTTTGGAAAGATGAACATCTTTGGGGGAAAAAAGCTTGTAGTCTTCTACCTGACACAAATCACATTTACGCAAAAGAAAAATCCTAAGAAGTAGGCAAGGAAATCTTCACACCACGTATTTTAGGGCATCGTTTCTAATTTGTGAGAATGGCCATTTCTCCCAGTGTGTCCCGGTACTCTTCCAGTGCATTGCTCTCCTGCCAGAGGAAAAAAAGCACGGCTGGCATTTCTGACATGCACTCTGCAAACCCATGTCCTGGACTATATGCAAAAGCATATTTCTGAGCCATTGGTGTCCTCATTCTTTTTTTTTTTTTCATGTTTTCAAATAATGGCTTTAAAAGAAAATCAGACAGAGACAGACTCATCCTCCACTGTAATTAAAATGACCATTCCGAGGGGTTTTTTTTAACCTCCTGGATGCAAGACAGTTGTTATTACTTTAGAAAGCAGTTATGCTCTGATTCAGTTTTGCAGTGAAGCCCCCACAGTTTCTTTAAATGTCATCGTGAGCCAGGCGCATCCCTGAGTACTTGGTTGGACTGGAGTCCAGATGCTAGAAGGAAGGTAATAAAGGCCTGTTTGGCAAAACATGATGAAAAACCAAGGTGGGTTGAATAATTAAGATACCTCACAAAAGGTAAAGTCATATGGTTTCTAAAGGGAGATTCTGGTCAGATTTGTACAGATGAGAGGGAAAAAGCGCAGAAGCATCATAGTCCCTAGGCAGAGCGGCGGTTTCACAGGCGTCTCCTCTGCCTGCGTCCCGCAGAACGGTCACACTCACAGATGCTCTCTCTTCCCCCGCGGTGTCCCCCACAGCCTGCTCCTGCCACCCCCTGGGATCAGTGCGACCCCCGCACCGGCGACTGCCGCACCAGCAGGTGAGTTGGGGTGTCCCTGCCACCCCACCCCAGCCTCAGGAATCCCCCCGCAATTTCCACCCCAGGGAAGGCACTGCTCCCACATGATTTGTGCACGGCCTGTGGTCTGAAAAATCTCTCTTACATAAAATATTTGGGGTTTGGTATGGTCAGGAACTGGGGGTGGAGCGGGGCCTGAGGCTGCAGTTTGCCTGAGTGCCTGGTGCACGTTGGGCAGTGGCAAGGTTGGATTACTGGCTCTTGGTGCTGGTGTTATGGGGTGTTTTCCATAACCTTCTACTGTTGCTGCCTCTCCATGAGCAAAATGTGAGCCTCAGGGAGATCTGATCGAGAGGAGGCCAAAGGGTTAATGTTGTTCTGTTGCAACTCACCTTTCATTGACTGTGCTGGACTTAGAGTCAGGCTCTGACTTTTAGAAGACAGCACATTTCAATAATATTCCACTCTTGGGATATTATGTGTTGCTTTTTCTTACCATGCTGGGGATATTTTACTTATAAATAACATATTTTATTTATAAATAATACATTAGTTTATAATTTATGTGTTTTATTTATAGTATATATATAGTATATATTTACTTACATTTATTTATAATCCCTATAATGCATTTTAAACCCCAAATGGATTCATGACCCACTCTGAGAACACTCCAGCTGTTCATTTCCAAAACCGCCCCTTGCGTTTAACACCACCAAGACACACAGTCACTCTGTGCCTGGAGGGCGGGTTAGTAGTGGCCCAGCTTTCCGCTGGCTCCAGAAAGGCTGACTGCTTGCCTGTCCCCTCAACAGCTCGGACATGACCTGGCACCACGAAGTGCCACCTTTCCAGCCAGTGCTCAACCAGAGCGAGCCCGTCTGGAGCTGGGAGGAGGAGCAGGGCTTCTCGGCGCTCCGGCATTCCGGTAGGACGGTGGCTTCACGTGTGTTTCCCTGCCCCATCCCTCCTGCCAGCAGCCAGCGCAGATGCGGTCTTCTACACTGGCTTGTAATTAGTGCCCTGGCAGTTGCAAGAGGGGGTGGACATTTTCCTGTTAATGATGTCCTGTGCGATCACCTCCTTTTCCTCCACAAGACAGAGGAGCCTGATGGCTCGTCCCATCAGTGTGAGGACGTGCAGACCCTTTAGGCAGATGCTTCTTGCTGAAAGCCTGCACCCAGCATTTAGCTGTTGGTAGGGCAAGAGTAGCCTGCCTGAATTTGCAGCCCCGGCTCTGAATTTCAAGGACAAACACTCTCTTTTGTCGATCATGTTTTAAATGTGTCTTTGTATTCTCTAGAACTACTACACGTTGGGCAAACCAGCAATGTTATTTAGAGGCTGAGGTTTGCCACTTCACAGGCGGGGAGTCAGGAAATTCCCAAATAAAAATTTATTTCCCTGATACCCACAACAATTATGGCATCAGTTTCGGTTTACGATACAGTGAGAGATTTCCTAGCATTCCAGCCACGGCTTCAGCTGGGGAAGTGATTTCTCCCCTCCCCGTGCTGCGGGAGGTTGCTGCAAGGCCCGCTGGCCCCACGGCGCAGCATCGAGCCGTCCCTCCATGCGATGGCTGCATGCAAGCGGTCGAGCGTCATTTCCTGCGTTTTTCAGAAAGTGGTATGATAAAATCTCAAAGATACAATAATTGAGTTAATTGAGGGGAAAGCTCCATCGTTTGTCTGGGCAACTTCATTTTAAACGTAAATAAGTATATCATGTTATTCTTTGTTCTAAGATCACGGAAGTCATTAGTCTGCCTTAACCTCTGCAACATTTCCTTCTAAAATTTTGTCTGGTACATTACGGAATGGAAAATACCGCGGGGAGACATGCGTGTTATTTGCATCCCAAGGCAAAATAATAAGGCCTTTGTTTCCCTTCTCTTCAAAGTGTAAACAAGGAATAACTGCCCTTGGATTAAGATTGTATATTCAGTCCGGATCTGAAAATAGGGCTTTTTTTGCACGGGGCTTGGGGACCACATGAAAACCTCTGGCGGGTCCCAGGCTTTGCCTTTGAAGCCTCACTTCTTTTAAGTACAATCCACAGGTGTTTGCTTCCTTCTCTTTCCCCAGGTAAATGCGAATGTAAAGAGCAAGTTTTAGGGAATTCCAAGGTCTTCTGCGGGATGAAGTACACCTACGGTGAGTTGCGGGTGAGGTGGCAGGGGCGGAAGGGGAGGCACTGAGAGCCAGGGCAAGAGTATAAAGCCTGAGCAGTGCTGCTGTGTGCACTGCTCCATCCTGGCAAACCCATCGGCTACTTAGTTTAAGGGCAGATCTTTGACCTTTCCAAAATGTACAAATATCATGGTGCCAAGTCAAGGTGGGTAAAGTATCTTGCTCTGCTGCCCGTCCCTCTTGTTACCAAAATGCCTTTGTGCCAAAATCATGGGAGGACCAAAATCATGGGAGGACAAGAGCTGGAAGTGTCCCTGAGAGGTTTCCTAGGTCCGAGACAGACTGTAAAGCACTGTTACCAAAAATGGTGACTACTCTGTCTGTAGACCAGATGCCCCAAGCACAGTATAGAAATCACTAAATCTGAGTTATGTGGAATGTAATGAGCAATGGTGACCACCACACAAGACACTATGCAGAGAACAAGGCTCTGGTAGCCACTAGAAACTTCCCTCTGTCAACAAAGTCCAGCTGTTGCAATGGGGTGATATATATTGCCTGTGTGCCTATTGACTTCAAATGAATGAGAGGAGGCACTTTGTTTCCCAAGACCTCTCAGGTGCGTGCCAGTGAACCTCCTCCTTCATACCGCAGCAGAGCAAGGAATGCTCTGGGTAGTACTCCCCTCCTTCACAGCCTTCCAGGGGTCTCTTGCACCTGTTTTGTCTCGCACTGAAGTTGAAAATGCACAGAGAGATAACCCCTGCCTCTGCAGGCTGCAGAGCAACACAGAGAGGGAAGTTCAAGGGGCCGCCAGCTGTAGAAATATAGCCCTGGCTTAGAGATAGATATTTGGAAAAAAACTGATTCTGCTTTGCTTTGCTCCCTGGCCATGATAGTGACAGTGTTGAATCTTGTAAAAGAGAAGAAATAAAAAAAAAAAAAGTCAGAAAACCCTCAAGTTCATAAATCTTATCTAAAGTGCACTCAGGTTTCCCACTCTTTCACCACTCAGCATGCAAAGGTGTCGGCTATGCTGCAGAGACAGATGAATTACGGTGCTCATCGTGAGCCTCAGGAGGCCGTACCGTAGGCGGGGAGGTTTTACTGAGCTTCCTCCAGTGCAGCATTGACTAAAGCACTGCCGTAGGGTGATGTCTACCAGTGTAGGTGTCAGCACGATCGGGGGGACGCTCAAGCGTGGGACCCGAGCCTGGAGCCTCCACCACGCAGGGGCTCAGCAGGTGGGATACCAGGTGGTGGGGATGTGCCTGTGAGTATCTGTGAGCTCAGAATAGTCTGGGATTTGCCTCAGTCCCCACCAACTCTTTAGTCTCTGCCGTTACATTTGGATTTGGCAGCTCTGCAAAGCGGGAGGACCCACAGCAGGAGTGCTCACCCGGGTGGGATGGAGGCAGCCCCTCACATCCCTGCCTGCTGCCTGGTCTGCCCGAGGCAAGACTAGCAAAGCCTCCAGGTCCATCCCTAGAAGAAAGGCTTTCTGCTTGATTTCCGAAAGTGCTGATGAAGCCAAAGTCATTGCCGAGCTCTGGGACAAAACTGGGCCCTCAGAAATTTTGACAGTCAGGTCATTTGACCTCTCCTGCTGCCTGTGTGGCAGGTCCAGGGGCTGTGGCCAAACCAACCAGCAGCGTTCCTGCCCATGGGAATGGGGACGTATGCACTCCCTGGTAGCTGTGCTGACCCTGGGCTCCCCAGCAAGGAGCGTTGGGCTAACTCTGCTATAACAGAGTAATTGTCTTCACTGCTTTGCCCAGACTCCTCCATTAGACAAAAAAACCCCAAAAGAGACTATTTAAATAGTTCATGTATTCCTGGGTTTGAATTTGTGTCTTCACAGTGATCAAGACGAAGATCTTGTCAGCTCATGACAAAGGGTCCCATGCAGAAGTCAATGTGAAGATCAAGAAAGTCTTGAAATCTACAAAGCTAAAAATCCTTCGGGGCAAGAGGACGCTCTACCCTGAATCCTGGACTAACAGAGGCTGCACTTGTCCCATCCTCAATCCCGGTAGGTTTGACTCCCTAAGCAGTACATCCCCACCATGCTTACACGGATCTCATTCCCACCCCTTCATCCTCTCATGCCAATGAGCTGAGATTGCAGCCCAGAGTTGATTAAGTTGTTGGCTGTTACATCATCTGGATTCCAACAGGAATTTCCACAAAATTTGAATTTTGTAGAGAAAAACTTATTTCATTCTATAGACTTTCAAACATACAATTCTCTTTATGAAGCATAATAACAGTCTTACAGCTTTACCAGTCTCAGTCTGTTCCTTCAGGGAGTGAGTTGCATATCATGGCATGACTACATGATGTATCTTTTCAAAACTAATGCTAATATAAATCCATAAAAACACATTGAAGTCTAATTTGAGTCATGTTATTGCACTGAAGTTCTAACCTAAACTCAAGGAAAGATGTCTCTTTAAAAGTAGCACTAATTTGCATCTGCAAGATTTGGGAGAAATTCTCTTACGCAGTGAGAGGGCAGCTTTGGCTTCACAGTTTTTTCTCGTCTTCTTTCACTGAAATGGAGTTTGACCAGTGGTGGCTAAACAGTGCATGCAGGCTCCGACACGGACAAGGAGATGCAGACTCAGGGTTTTCTTCAGCAGAGCAAAACTAAGCTCCAGGTGACACACCTTTCTTTACAACTCTGAGATAAACCAACAGTTACCAACTAATTCAGATAAAGGGTTTTCTTTCATGAGGCACACACATCACTCGGAAATCACCGATCAAAACGTCAGTTTCAGTAAGACTTTGAATATTGGTAAAACACCAGAAAACGATAGTTAAACAGATACAGCTGTTTTATTTTTCCATATGCAAATGCAAGCAAGAAAGCTCAGATGCAGTTGCCTTAATATGAACCTGGAGGAACACCGGGAAAGCTGTCAGACACCGAGTGTACAGGGCAGCCCAGCCCTGCACCTCACACCCAGCTTTGCGACTCCACTAACTTCAGAGGAGCTTCACTGATTTTCCTCAGCAGAGGAAGAGACAGCAGTAATCACAGAATCGATGGAGGTCGCTTGGACATCAGTGGAAGAGTGGAGGTGCAATTGCCTTTAGGGAGAATCCAGGCGTCTGACACATCAGGTGTTACTGCCTTACCAGCTCTCATGATTCACACCGCAGTCCAGAATTGTCTTGCAGCTGCTGGAGTCCTGTGAGTGTAAATTAATCTCAGCTTTCCTGTTGGAAAGAAGCTGCGAAGTTTGGTCTTAATGAGAAACTTGAAAACATCAACTGAGCACATCTTTAAGATTCAATCATTTCCAAGGGAATAAAAAAGGATCACAGATATTTTTTTAAATCTCATGGGTCTCTTTAGCTACCATATTCATTTCTGAATGGTTGGCAATACTATATTAGCAGATTTAACCCTCTTTCAGGGTTAGAGCTTATGACCTCCAGATGAATAAACCAACAGCAACTGGATGAAAAGCCAAGCAGACACAAAACAATTTCCTGACATATAGCTAGAATGGAAATCACATCTCCCAAAAACATAGAGGAGATGAAAGATAAAAATAAAAGAAAGAAAGACATATTTTTATTCTGTTTCACAACGCTAAACGGATACGAAAAGGAGCGTAGGCTTTTAAAGGCTCTGGCAAGAAATAAAAACTCCAAGCAGTTATCAAATCTCGGTGGGCTGGTTTCAGATGATAAATGTGCTTAAGTTTCTACTAGGGGCTATTCACTACCCTTGCACACCTTTCCCTCCACACACACCCACGGAGGCAGGCTGGCCTCCTGGGGGGACACTGAGCTGAAAGGTTCAACAGTCTCAGCCATCTGCAAGAGAACAGGAGCCCCTTCCCCTCCTCGGCTCTGCCAAGCACAGGCACAAAGAAGCAGAGAGCTGCCTGCCAGCAACGCAGGGCAAAGCGCACAGCCTCAACTCCTGGCTTGCAGCATCTCGCTCGTTAAATTCATTTTATTTTCACACTTCTGTAACATCGGGTTGAAAATCTAGAAAGCCCTACCTAATCAGCAATGGCGGCAACGTTCGCTTGCTCTCTGAGGGTGCATGCCGTGTTTCTCTCCCAAGGGAGACAGATTTAGGAGCCCTTGAGAAGCGATGTTTCTAACAGCAGGATTGTCGTGGCCAAAATGAATGTCTTGCAAAGGGTGATACTGCCATGCACATATCCTGTGTTTACTTGGCAAAAGAGAGGATGTGTGTGCCCAAAAACTCCGATGAAGTAGATTAGATAATAAATTGTATTGAATTAAAGAAAAACATGCTTGACCTTTAACTAGGGGACACTCTTCCTTTATTCTGAACTACAAAACAAAAACCCAAGGAAACACGAGCAGGCTCCCCGCTGTGGCCGGGATGGAGCGGGGTGACCGAGAGCACTGGAGGAGACAAGTCTCCCCCAGGCTAGTTCATGCCATGGCATGGTGCTCCCCGGACCAGTGTGAGGAGGAGGGGCTACGTGGGGGTGGGTCTCGTGCTTGCTGTACCCCAAGCATGCTGCAGCGGGATGCTGGCCCCAGCAGGGAGCTCCTTCTGCCACGGGAGGGATTATCCTCCTTGTTATCCCCATTTATGGCACATTCATGGCCTATTTAGGCTGTTGGGATCTGTGGCAGTGTTTCTTTAGCTAACTCAAGCCAAAGGCTTCGCTCTGTCCCCCCGCTTAGCAGTTATTGCCTGGCTCCAAGCGCTCTTTGAGCTGTGCCCTGAAAGCCAAGCGCAGATCTGGATGCCTGGGGTGAGCCCTGCGGCAGAGCACTGTGGGGCCGCACTCCAGCCAGATCTGGCAGCACCTGGACACCAGGCAAGGCCTTGCCAGATGCTGCTGTCATGTCTCTAAAACATCTGGTGGGGGCAGAAGTTGGTGGAGCCCTTTTCAGTGTGACTGCCACCCCCTCAGGCTCTTCTGGGGTGCTTTCGCTGGCAAATCTAGTACTGCGTCTTGTCAGGGTCCGGCGTGCCTTTGCCTGCAAGGGGCCACTGGCCATTTTGAGCAAGACACCAGCACTGGGCCATCCTGCCCCATCCTGCTGGAACGCGCTGAACAGACTGATTTCAAGGCCCAGGTATATTCAGGGAGGGGTGAGGCAGGTGGCTGCCAAATGAAGGTAATAGCAGTTCCCTAATGAGGCAGAAAAACTTGTAGCACAGCCCTCAGGGTTCATCTTCCGTTTATATTTAGAAGCCAACAAAATCAAAGTTTGTATGCTGCATGTCACTGGCAGATGTGCCATAGAGGTCAATTTTCTGTACATACAGACCCAGGTATAGATATACAGATATATGAGAGAATTGACACATATAAATATTGCTTCGTGTAAGTGCTTTTTTACACGGGACTAGATATGCACGCTGACATTGCAACATCAATACGCCTCTTAAGCGTAGTGCTGTGCAATTCCTGACTGCTTTGCTGGTTTGCAGGCTTGGAGTACCTCGTGGCAGGACATGAGGACGTCCGAACGGGCAGACTCATCGTCAACATGAAAAGCTTTGTCCATCAGTGGAAGTCGGCTCTCGGAAGAAAAGTCCTGGAGATTCTGAAAAGAGACTGCAACTAGAGGTGCGTGACTGCCTAGGGCATTTCTTTATGCACAAAATGCAACAGCCTTCACAGAGAGAAGACCTCTAGGATGAAAACTGGAATGTAAGAAAATAGTGCCAAAACATGTAGCGAAGCATTCAGAGTTGTAAGCGCTGTCTGATTTAACCCTTCCTGGCCGATGTTCATTCACTCGCCTGTGGCTTCCTCGCCAGGGGCTCACCTGAGCCCAGCTCATCGTTACGTTGAGGGAAACAAAAGGAAGGGCGGACGCTTGTCTCGCTCTGGGACGATGTTGGAGCAACTCCTGGGAAGCCACTGATCGCCCTAGACTAAATTGCCACCCTGGAGAGGGAAAGCGCGCCCCCCAGCCACAGCTGAGAACTAAAACACCACTGCCGATGCCACCAGCGTGGATCCTGAACGACTTCCAGAGGTTTCCAGAGGATGCTGCGGGGAAGGCGATGGCTGCAGTGGTGGGCAGGCACTGGTGGCAGCATGGCAGCGACAACTGCTCTTTAGAAACGCCCCACTCGGGTTAGGACACGGCACCTGTCTAAGAGAATTAGGCACTGTGTGCTTTTCACCCGGTCATCCCACTGGAGGTTTTGGGGGCTGAATTCTCTGCCAGTGCTGGCAAGGGTGGAGCTGCCAGAGTGAATCGAATCCTTCTGCCTTGGCACAAGCGTGGCACCGGGCAGAGGCCGGCTCTTCACCCACCACACGGCCGCAGAGAAGAGCCAGCCTGGGAAGGTGCAGCATCTCTGAGCTTTTGTCCTTGAAGTGTTAAGAAACAAGCTTAGCCCTAGTGTAAATATTTCATTGTATAAAGCACTTTACTACCTGCCACTTAACAGTGCGGGAAGTCTAATTGTGTTGGGGAAAGAAGAGGGTGAAGGTGGCACATGAACAAAACTCCCTGAAACAGAAGCACTCCTGAAGACTTCCCCCAGTTGGACGGCGTCAACGGTATAAAGGGAATGGCCAGCCTGGCACTGGCCACTCAGATTATCTGAGGATGCAATCTGAAAGATAAAGTATATTTGCACTGAAGTCCCAGCTTCAGACCAGCACTTGGACCCCGTAGGCAGGACTCCAGCGAGACTTCGCAAGCAGCCTGGGAAGAAGAGGAGACTTTGAGATAAAAAATGCAATTGTCAGAGGAGAAAAACTCTGCCTGCAGGAAAAGGAATGGATGTGGAGAAGAGAAAGGACTCGCATTCACATATCACAGCCCAGCGATACATGGTGGGCCTGGAGTTTCTTTTCTTTTTATGTTAGTATTTAAAACTGAACATTTGATTTGTTTTCTTCCGTGTTATTGTTTGCAATATATATGGCCATTATACTTCCTCATTAACACCAGTATGGAATATAGCACAGTTTACTACAGTTTTCAGCACTAAAATGTATCTTTTCTGTAAAGCATCTTTAAACCACATTGCATAGAGTGTGTTTTGTTTGTGTGAGGGAAATCAAAAGGAAGACATACAACACCAGAGAAGTCACAAGTCTGCCAATCTGCTTTACGTATGCATTTTTCTTTCAAGGTCCTGTGGACTCAGAGAAGAAATGATACTATTTTGGTAATTTGTTTTTATATCCCATGTATGTAATAAATATAATATGATTTCAACATCTTCATCTCCTGTTACTGCTTATGCCACTGGCAATTCGGTCTTCATGCCTGCACTAAAGAGTGCAGAGAAGATGGTGCTGGGTGGAGAGAAGCTGCCGTGGGTGAGACTTTCCTCTCTTGGGGGTAACGTTCACCATGTGGTAAAAAGCCAGCTGGCATGGATGACTCACAGAAATCCCATTTCACTTCTGTTTTGGGAGGCTTATAAGCTATTCTTGTACAAAGGGCAGTTGTACCTAAATATTTTCAAAGCTGGCCAGATCCTTGCATCCACACAACCCCGATGGCTGAGCTGCAGAGCAGTTACCCATAAAAAGCAAGCCAGAGGTGGCAGAAGTCAGGCTCACTCCGAACATTTGAAACTGTAGAGGGAAAAAAAGGCTGTGGGAAATGAGCGCTGTGGCAAAAGGTCTATAAAAACCACGGCAGAGTGAAATCAAGCATCAGAAATGAGCAGCCAGGGGGTCGAGGCGTAACAAGCAGCGTGGGCAGCAGCTCCCTGGGCGGGCGGTTAATCAGTGACTGCCGGGGCACTGTGCTGCGGCAGCACCCGTC